TATCAACCTTACAGAAGTTCCCTTTGGTTTAGTTCATCCAGTGAGGGGGAAAAAACCCAGAATTCTATCTTATTGAAACGCTTTCTGTGACTGTGATGCAATTTGATGCCCTTTTGGGTTTTAACTGTTTACTTAAGCTCTTGGTCAAAATCATTAAGAACTGTTCCAGAGCCATGGGGAAACCCAAAATGGAGGAAGCTGTGGAATTCCTCCCAGAGCTCTCAAATACACTGGCAAGCAAACCCAGTTTCCCCTGGAAGGGGAGGATTGTGGTTTTCCCAGTCCAATGCTGCTCACTTCTCGCTGAGTGCTATTAGATCATGCTTTCTAGAGGCTGATCCTTACAGCTCATGATGACACTTCTGAACATGCAAGAATTATGCTTTTGGAAAATAGAAGCAATTCCTGGCATTTTGAAAGAGTAACTTGGAGGTAGGTAGTTCTTAACTTTCCTCTAAGCTCACCCCTCATTTCCAGTTTCACACCGTCACTGCACCACAGTCTCAGCATGATTCTCATGGACAAGAAACAGACACTCAGCAAAGAGCAGCCGGAACAAGACAGTTGCCCCATCATTGGTTCTGAAAAGGTTTTGTTAGCTGAAAGGTTAAATCATTATACTCCTCAGGCTCCACCTCTTTATCATTTCGCATGCATTTTGTGATCTTCTCAGTGTACAAAGAAATATCTGTGGGAGTCTTTATTAAAGCCACCTCAGATTTTTATTCTCTTACAATCTGGCATTTCATATTTCTTCTAGGGTATGTTTCAGGACACAATATATATCTGAAAGTATCTAACAGAGTACCATACTCTAAAAACTTGCTTTTCTTTACAGGTTTAGTAGGATGCTAAAATAATCCAAAACTTTGAATGTTTTTAGATTGCAGTTATAAATCCTACTTCAATTTTTGTGTTAAACAATATGAAATAGTAACAAAACTTTACTTTTTAATGCATTTCCTTCTCAGGAAACCAACTGTAAATTCAGATTTTGCCAGCACAGAGTGGCTTTTATTTTCTTGATATCTGAGTCAAAACTGCATTTTCAAAACTCCAGATTGAAACCCCCAACTAATCATGACATGGAATTAGTCTATTTATGGCTACAAAAAGCAAGCCTTGTTCTCATTATGCAGTAAGTACTAGCTGTTTATAGATCTGACAGTTTTCTGGAAGGGATCCAAACCTATAGTGCTATTATTCCTTAGTAAAACTTAAACAGCTGTAGCCCTGTAATTCAAAACCCTGGAAGTCTGCAGCAGTGCTCACTCCACTTCAGTATACCATGAATGCAGGATGCAGCCAGTCATATAAAGGATCCTCTGCTTCACAGAATGAGAGAAAGACGTGAGCTACAAACCTGAATCCAACCTGAAATTCCCAAACAGATGAGTTGGTGACAGCCTCTTCCAGAGTCCAGGTATGGCAAACCTTTGTCTGTGAATTTTCTGCAGTGAGTTAAGCTCAGATACTGTAAACTGGGGAAGCTGCTTTGCAAAAAAACTCCAAAACTGCCCCAAAACCCAACAGAGAGCAAGTTACTGCATGGGCATTTTGCAGAATCAAAAGAAAAGAAAATACCATGGTTAAAGTATTCTGAAAATTAATGTAAAGAAAAGGTGTTTGATATGAATTAGAATTATCTTCTTGCTGAAGTTTGAAATTCCTTTTCTTCTGCTGCACTTTTTCCTCTGCTCCTTGTAGTGCAAGTTACTGGGGAATAGCACTATCATACATGGTATTTCCCCATATGAAACCAGTGTAATTTTAAAGTTATCTCAAATAACTGCAAAAACATACTTTTTTAATTAATTTGAACTTTTTTATGCACACTTGGCAAGTATGAATTTCTTTGAAAGTTTGCTGGACTGTCTTTGCCATTGATTTTACAAGCAGTGCCTGCTGGAAATGAAAACCAGATCTCTAGCAAATGACATTAAAAGCATAAATGTGCACTTAAAGCTTCTCATGGCATATCATTATTTACAGGAGTACTATTAAAAGAGCCTGAAAAATTGAAAGAGTTACAAGAGGGAGTTATCCAAAAGTGAGTCATGCAATGTTAGGTTTTGATAACTTCTTTTGGAAAACATTTCTTTACACTAAACATTAGTTAAGAGAAACCAAACTGTGTAAGTGGAAAATGTTAATCGACAGCACTCTGTAAAAGCAAGGATCTATACTCTGAATTTGTTTCCATCTGCAGCTTTGGTTTATATCACACTGCAAACTATTCATTTACTGAAATGCGTTTCTAACTGCAATAAATAACAGCTGCCACGAGCACCACAAATGAAAGCACACAGCAAAGCAAAACCTAGAATTAGGACTTTCTGCTCTGGTAGACATTTAGTTGGAGGGTTATAGTCATGCAGTTCTGCAAGTCAGCAAATGTAGGCATTGTGAAGAGAGATGGGAACACCCACTGAGGAGCTGAATGCCTGAGGAGAGGCATTCTGACTTCTGGAGCTTACTTCATCCTGTCAATGGAGAGTGGGAAACACACTAGCTTGAACTGAAGACAAAGGGGAAGAGGCAGGAAGCGCAAAAAGAATGTTCTTGTAACAGGAGAATACAAAAATAGGAAGAAATTAAAGATAAGATTACATTTCATGGAAAAAAGACAAGAAGATGGACACGTGCATTAGAGACAGATATTAGTATATAAGGACATTGGTTGTTTGTGGTGTCCTTTTATAAATGGAAATATTTCATGCATATTAAGTGCAGGAATAAAATCATCCTTCTTTGTAAAGCCTAAGCCTTTTGGCGTTTTAGTGTCATATCCCATGGAAATCAAGCTTGGAGAAGGAATCTTCCAAACATATCTGACAAAAGAGGTAATAAATGAAGGGATTGGGTTCTCTACTCTGGTAGTTCTGTGTGTTCTTGAAGTGTGTGTTGCTACAACCAAAGGCACAGGGAAGTCTTTCCTACTGCATGTTGAAGACTAATCAAAACCTTCCAAGACTTTCGAAAAGATGCTGATTTTCTTTCTAGGCCATATGACTCATGTGTTAGGACCTGGGGATTTTAACATGCCTTCTTTTGCCATTTGTAAAGTGACATCTTTTTTAAAACTTCAGCTTGAGCACACAGGATTCTAAAATTCCTTAGTTTGTGTTGCAGCCAAATTCTGCAGGAATTCTGTCATACTGTTTTTTCCATTAATTTTGACAATTTCAGCCTCAGGATCGGACAAAATCACCTCCTGACATTTATTCCTGATGAACAAAGTTCATGTGCACCATATGCAACAGAACTTTTCAGAGGGAAACTGTAGCACTGTGTTGTGCAATGTGGAAGTTAAAATGCTTGTATGGAACAGTAAGAATTAAAAATGATCCCTACACTTCATTAGTTCCTTGTCCCAGTGAAAGAACATCTGATGTGTGATAGCAAATTTTGTGGGCAGCATTATGAAATGCAATACTGTCACCTCTAAGCACTTTATATCAGTTACCCTATTACATGGGGCTGTGGTGAGCTAATGCTTTTGAGATGACATGTGAAATCCTTATGAAATCCATCTGCTATCAAAATCTTTGCAGGACAGCAACTTTTTGTACTTCCCCCATAATCTCAGAAGCAACGAGCTTTGCTTTTTTTTTTGGTACCAAAATTGCCAATACAAGCAGTGGGATATGATGGTTTTAAATCAGAAGCATCATATGTGACTGGGAAAGTTTCTTCTTAACAAGGTACAACTGAACTGCAAAAGGTGTCTTGTCAGTGGAGACTTTTTCTTTGGTGTTGTGCTATTTACACACTGAGAGAAATGATGTTCCAAACTTCAGCATTAACACATGGAAATTTAAAGAGTCAAAATGTGGAGAAAACAGAGATTATAACAAACGTAATTCTGAGGAGATGAGTGGTAAGATTTGAGACACTAAATGCAACACTTTGCCAAGACAAATGTTAGTTCTATGAGGATATGGCATTACAGACTAAGAAAAACAAAAGTCAAAATCTGTTATGTAAATGCCAAAGGAAAACCTTTGGGCAGCTAAAGGAACCCTTAAAATTGCCTAAACTGAGTACCCACGAGAGACTTTAACCACTCTGATACCTGCTGGCTGTACAACACGGCTGGGCATGAAGGAACCAGGAGACTTCTAGACTGTGTTGAGGACAATTTCTTGATGCAGGTGAATGATGAGTGGTCTAGGGAACATGTTCTGGACTTGTTTCACAAAGAGAAACTAGTCAAGGATGTGAAGAAGTGGAGTGTCTTTGATTACTGCAACTACGAAAATGAGGAGCTTAGACTCCTGATAGAAGAAACTGGACAAATTGTAGAAGCAAAAGCCTGAACCTGGGAGTAGATTTTGGCTTGTTTTGGGATCTGCTTAAAGGATCTCATGGTAGACAGCCCTGGAGGGCAAAGAGGCCCAGGAGAGCTGGTTGATCTTCAAGGACAATGTATTCAATTACTTTTTGTCTCAGTTTTTACTGCTAAGGCTTGTCTGAAGGCTTCCTACATGCCTTGTTGGAGCCTATGAGCAGAGTCTGTGGGAGTGAAGTAATACCCATGGTGGAACACACTAATGTCAGGGAGCACCTGAGGAAATGGGATGAGACAGGGTGCATCCAAGAGTAAGTAACCTGGCTCTGGTCACTGAGAGGCCTCACTCATTTTTGAAAGGTCATGAACAATCAGAGGAGATTCCTAATGACTGGAAGATAGGAAATGTCAGATCCATTTGCAGGAAATGGAAGAAGATCTGAGAAACTACAGGTCAGTCAGCCCCATCTGAGTCCCTAGGAAGGTTATGTAGCAAAGCACTTTGAAGCCCTGTCCAAACACACAAAGGATGGAGAAGTGACAACAAACAGCCAGCATGGGTCTACCAAGAGCAAAGCATTCCCCATCACTAAGGCAGTAGTTTTCTGTGATGAAATTATTGGGATCTGTGCATCTGCTGTGCATCTTGCCTTCAGCAAGACCTTGAACACAGAGCACACTATCCTTTATAGCCAAACTGGTAAAACTAAGGCTGGATAAGTAGACTTCAAGATAAGTGAAAATTTGTCCAGACTGCCAGGCCAAAGGGTTGTCACCAATGGAGCTAATCCCGCTGGTGGCTTGTGGAAACACATCCAACAAGTGTTGATATGGGGGCCAGTACTGTAATTATCTTTATAAATGGTTTGGATGATAGGAACAGAGAACATTCTTAGCAAATTCACAAATTATTCCAAGCTGGAGAGACTGTTGAGACACTAGAGGTTTGTACTGTTATTCAGAGAGATTTAGTGTGGAAAAATGGGCTGAAAGAAGCTTTGTTGAGTTCAACAAAGGGAAATGCTAAGTCCTACGTCTGGGATGGCATAACCCCCTGTATCAGTACAGTGCAGGCACTGGACAGAAAGCAGCTATCAGACACCCTGACCTGGGAGTGCTGGTCAGTAACAACTTCAATGTATGCCAGCAGTGTGCCCTGCTGAAAAAGGTATCCAGCTGCAAACTCACACATCCCTCCTGCCAAATTCTGAGTCTATCCTCCACAGTAAAGATGCAAAAACTATTAAACATGGCAATACCTTTTTCCTTAAACTAATCCCCCAAAATAACTAATCTGTCTAAACTAAAAATGAAATAAACCATTGGCCTGATATGGATACCTAACATAGAAAATGCAGTATGAAAGGTTTATAGAGTTAAATGTAAAATATTCAAGGAATCTTTAAAAACACATTTTCACATGGTAAGCCAAATACATGTTCTCAATTGCAATCAAGCATTAGTACAACAGGTCTGTATATTCTTTTCTATAGGGACTGTGACTACACTGATAGACCTTTTTTGTCCTAGCACTAAATGAGGCACAGTTGTAATTTTACACATGAACCTGCTACTCTTCATTTTGTTATTATAGCTGAGTATAATTTAGGGAGCAGACAGAATATAATACTAGTAAAAACAATCCAGTTCAGACTCAGGAGATGGAAAGGAAAAGGCAAGAATATTTCCATAATTATTTATTACCTTTCCTTCCCAATTTCTTCTTTCATCTCATGGGGGGAATGAGCTATTTCATTACCAGAGTGATGAACAGTTCAAAACAACACAGAGGATCCCAGTTATGATACAAGTTATTAAAACACATGATCAGTTTACACTGAGTAGCATACAGCTGCCAAAAAGTAGCAAGTAACATTCAATTTTTCATGTAAGGGATAAAGTTGTCAATGCAAACACTCACACTGTGAACTAACAGAATCTGAATGCAGATAGTCAACTGGCAACTACAGGAACCAAGTGGAGTGAGTTTTCAAAGATAATATTAATGATCCATGACCACGTGGATTAGAGGGCTGAAGGAGCAGGCACAGATAGGACTCTTCCATCCATCTAATGAGAAAGAAGTGCACAAATACTGCGAACGTTCTACAGTTGTGATGTGGTTTAAACTGATCAACCAATTTGTTTAAAATGGAAAATTTCTTTGCTTCCAAAAGAATTTTACCTGATATTAGCTGATATATTGTGCTACCTTTCATAGAGTCATAGAATCAGCAGGGCTGGAGGAGACTTCTAAGATCATCACATCCCACCATTGACCTGACTTTGCTGGCACTCCTAAACCCTAAACCATATTCTTTCAGACACTTCCAGGGATGGTGACTCCACCACCTCCCTGGGCAAGCTATCCCAGTGCCTGAACACCCTAACAGGGAAAACATTTCTCCTAACATCTTATCTGACTCTGCCCTGTCTCAGCTTAAGGCCATTCCCTCTAGTCCTCTCCCTGCAGCCACGGCAGGAGAGACATCCCCCACCTCTCTCCAACCGCTATCAGGTTTTCTCCAGATAAAACCAAACTTTCTGAGCCCAAAACAACAGTGTTGTAGAAACAGAACATCTGTACAATGATCGAGATTAGGATTCAATACCTTCCTGGGTGCTAAGGTCAAGAAGGACTGAGCATAATGCAAATACATCCACAGTTGCAGATAAAAAGTAATGAAGCAGTTAAGCCAGACAGTGAATAATTTTTATAAAAAGAAATGTTCAGAAGGAATGATATTGACTAGCAAAGGTAGGAAAATTGTGATATAGAAAAAAGTTCTAGAATCAAAAACCTGAGTTGTGAAAATGTTTCTACAGAAACATCACCTTGTGGCCAGACTTCACTGAGAATTAGTTATTTGGCTTTCTTGGAAAGGCAAAAACTCATGGCTTACACTTTTGTACTTTCCCTCCTCAGATGGCTAGACCTGGAAGTGGTTTGAAGCAGACCACCAGCAGGAACTTCAGACTCTCTTCACACTCTGCCTATGCTCAGATGACATAGCCACACAGGCTCTTGCAAAAGGTTATTTTGGGATCCATCTCAAAGTAGCCCATCAAACTCCATCAACCTGACATGGGCCACAGGAGGCAGTAGCAGGGCTAGTTATGATAAATTTGGGCTCAATCTGCAAACAAATCCACACCTGAGCACAGATTAAAACTGAGGGTTTGATAGACACTGGATGACTTTCCCTGTATGTGTTCCAATGGGTCTACACCCAGAAAGGTGAAAAATATCAGCTTCAAGCTCCTCTTTCAGGCTCATCTTCCAAGATGAACTTAAGTACGAAGAAGTCCTGGCCTGATGCCATTCTCCTCTGTACATTAGAACCTTCTAATAAAGATCACTTAGATTGGTCCATGTAGTTTCCCATGTTTAATCAAAATGAACAACAGTAAACCAGAGTCAGCAAAACCAACCCAACCAACCAAAAAGTGACAGGACATTAAACTTCCAAAGTATCTGTAAAGCTCCAAGTAGTATGATGAATGAGTACTTGGCTGAATGCTGCATATAATGTACAAACCTCCATGAAAATGCCCATTTCATCTGTTCTAATGTTTTACTTTTCTTCCAACACAGGGATCCCACTTACCCCAGCTGTGCCTCCTCAGATCTGTACAACTCTGATTCAGACTATCCAAAAATTTCTACTGTTCCAGCTGTCACAGAGAATAACAGGGGCCAGCTGAATGTCAGGATGCAAGTAGTTACTATTATACTACTACTACTTCTTTGCAAAGCATCTGACTGTAGGAGGACAAGGAACAGGAGTTTGAGAAACAATGAAAGGGAAAACCTCTTAAGAAGAGCATCTAGCACTGTTAAGCGCAATGCCCGAGGCCTGACATGTGACATATACACTTACCTTCATGAGAAATACCTAGATTGCCAGGAAAGAAAATTGATTTTTGTGGCACCTGATTGGCCAGAGGATATAAAACACATGCTGCTAGCAAGAAACAGGATTCGTAAATTGAAGAATAATATGTTTTCCAAGTACAAAGAACTGAAAAGTCTGGATTTACAGCAGAATGACATATCAAAAATTGAGAGTGAGGCTTTTTTTGGCTTGACTAAACTTACCACACTCTTACTGCAGCATAATCAAATCAAGAGTTTATCTGAGGAGTTCTTTATTTACATGCCCAGTCTAAACTACCTTCGCCTTTATGATAATCCCTGGCACTGCAACTGTGAACTAGAAACTCTTGTTACAATGCTGCAGGTTCCGACAAACAGAAATTTGGGAAATTATGCCAAGTGTGTGCACCCAATAGAACTGAAAAACCAAAAGCTAAAGCAGATCAAAGCTGATCAGCTCTGCAGTGAAGAGGACAGACAGGACCCCAAAAACATTAAACGGGAGAAGCCTGAACCTGTCAAACCCGAATTTGATTCCTCTCTGTGCCACATGTATGTGTTTCCTGTACCAACTCTGAACTGCAAAAGAAAAGGTTTGTATCTGTCCTTACAACTGAATCAATGATTTTAATGTTCTTGCTCCCTGACTACATCTATTCACACATTATTTACAGAAAATGAATATAGCACTAGCACTCACTTTATTTAGATTAATAATATTAATGGTTTTTCTCCCATAACTGCAAGCAGCAAGCAGGAATCCTTTCTACATTTTGCCTCTGCTCTGAAGCCTTAATTCCACAGATATTATTTAGTGCTCTAGCATAAGCTATGTAAGAAAAATCCACAGGAATAAAACTAAGCACATTCCATAAGTTACTGAAGGACCAGCACCTCACTAGGCTGATTTTACAACTATAAACAGACTCATCGGTCAAATTACAGCTGTGCTGAAATTGTTGTACTGACAGTGAAAAGCACAGAGTGTCTTCTCTGCTTTCCAAACACAAGTACAGCAATAACTTCTGACAGAAGTGAGCTATGAAGCAGGACTGGAGCAGCCAGCAGTGCCTACAATGCCCAAAGGAACCTGACTGCAAAGGAAAGTCATTGCTTTCTCACATTTGCTGTGCAGGATTTCTTCTAGTAAGGGAAGAAATTGTATGCTTATGTTCATAAAAAATACCTCCTCTGTGTTCTTCCTCCCAACACTCAGCAAGCATTTCCTAGGATCTTAGAATCATCAGGGTTGGAGGAGACATCAAAGATCAGTGAGTCCAACCATTAACCTGTCACCGCTGGAACCCCTAAACCAGATCCTCCAGTGACAGATCCAGGCACCTCTTAAACATTTCAAAGGTGAAAGGCCTTCAAGAAATGTTTCTCAGACACTCTATCCATTCCATTCCTAAATCCTTCCCAGGCTCCTAAAAGCCATAGTTAAGCCTTAAGGGTAGACCAGATGGGGCATATATCAACACAAAAGTGCACATTTATTTGTGCTTTATATTTCCCATATTTTATCCCACAATGAATCGTAGCAAACAACAAAACAATTCAGAAGAGAATTATGCCTTAACATTCCAATTCTGAAATAAGAAGCATTACTAGAAGCAGCCAACACTGTGAGGATTTTTTCCTAACTTTTGTGAAGCATAACCTGCAATACTGGATCACTGCAACATATGTTGTTCACCTGAACTTCTATTTGTTTTAGGAGTGACTTAATTTTATGTATAAAACCTCAGTGTGCCCTTGCTCTTGGACCTTAATGCCAGAGACAAGCTCAGAATTCAGTATAAGGACAATACCTAGATAACAAGAATTAATGATTTCAGCATTTGATTACATGGTTTATCTACTATGTATGTCATAAAAATGGTCCACAGTTTTTACTTTTTTCCAGGCTGTTAAATTCCTTTCTTATCCTTATGGCTCAGTTTTCTCTGTTTTACCACACAGCCACTACATAGTTTTTATTAATGATTTATGCTTCTTTATTGGCTAACATTTATTAATCTTTTAATATACACCCATCTTACCTTTCCTTTTGGATAGGATCTAAATTACTAGATGACAGATCATGACCCTAACTATCCTTCATAGGATCTTAATGATATCACTATTACTTTAAGTCTCCAGTAAACTGTGCTACTGAACAAAAATCAGGCATCTATTATAACCTTAATATCAGAAAAGACTGACTTTACAGCTCTCCCCATTTAGTGGTGTCAATGAGATGAATACATGTCAGAAACTTTTGGCAAGAAAAATGTTCATTTTTTTCCTCTAAGTTCATAGAACCATACAATGTGGTCTGATCTTCGTGGGAACTTCACAATGGTTTACAGTATTTACAGAAATGGTTTATTGTCTTTAGGACTAATACTGGAAGAATAAAGTTACTTCAAAGAATCACAGGATCAATTAGGTTGGAAGGGAACACAATGGGTCACCTGATCCAACCTCCCCACTCCAGCAGGGCCACCCTAGAGCACATGGCTCAGGATTGTGTCCAGATGGTTCTTGAAATCTCCAGTGAGGGAGAATCCACAACCTCTCTGGGCAATCTGTTTAGTGCTCAGTGACTGCACAGGAAAAGTTATTCCTCGTATTCAGGTGGAACTTCCTGTGCATCAGTTTTTGCTGTTACCTCTTGTTTTATTAGTCTGCACCACTGAGCAGAGTCTGATCCATCATCTTGGCCCTTCTATTCATGTACTTGAATGGGAAGTGCTAAGAGGATGGAGCCAGACTGCTCTCACTTGTGGAAACCAATTAAACAAGAGATAATGAGCAACCTCTACATGAGTTTTCTAGAGGGTACAGAGACTCCCTCCTTCAGGTCAAGAACTAAGTATATCAGTCCAGAACTTCCTGAATGTCTAGCATGGACACAATCAGTATGTTCAATATTATTTAGGAAGCACCAGATCTACAGATCAAGCATATCTGTGCATGTGCTTGACAGCTGGATGCAATCCCAAGGATATTTGGAATTTCTGAACATATGGTAATCTTTGATGAAAGCATTGCACTTACTGTCTTTGCATATGATTATTGTAGAGCAGATGCACAATTTCATCAGAATTTTCATCAGAAATAGGAGTAAAATGCACACAAAATCCTGGGAGAACATAGAAATTTCTCTAAAACCATGTGGACAAGATTTCAGAGTAGAAAACCAGGTGCACCAGTTGCCAAACCAGTAAGATGACATGCAAAGCTGCAATGTCATTATTCCTTTACCATGGAGGGGATGGAGTGGCAAACAGTAGAGCAGTACTAAGTGTCTCTAAAGAGGCATAACCACAGGTCAGGAGCTTTCACTTAATGTCAGAAAGCTCATGAAAGAAGCATCTTAAAAATACAGTAAACCAGGTGTAGATCCTCCTTTTTGAATAATTTACTTATACTTCATCAGGCCAGTGAGATACCAGATCTTTCAGCGCTCCAGAATCATAGAACCATCAACGTTGGAGAAGACCTCTAAGATCATCAAGTCCAACCATTAACCTGTCACTGCTGGAACCCCTAAACCCTAAACCATATCCTCCAGTGTCAGATCCAGATGCCTCTTAAACACTTCCAGGGATGGTGACTGCACCACCTCCCTGGGCAATATCCCAGTGCCTGAACCCCTTATGAACGAAATATCCTATGTCCTTGCTTCCATTTTACCAAAAACAAAGCCACAAAACTTGAATGCAAAATCAGTTTCTGTTTGCTTTTCTGCAAAGAATTTGTATTTGCAAGAACAGTGGAAACAATCTGCTTTCTAGCACTGCCAAACTCCCCAAGTCTCTAAATTCAAGCATTATTTGCATTCATGTGGGGATTAGTAGGCCTTGAAACTTTGACATCTGCACAAGCAGGAAGCACTCCAACCTCAGCAGGCTGGAGTAGTTATAATATTTATTCATTTATAATACCAAAGTTATGCTCAAAATCAAATATAAGGCAGGAAGACTCTGATATGTTGCTTTATCCTCAAAAATACCTGACTCGTTACGCATCTTCAGATGTACAGTGACCACACAAGTTTTAGCACAGACCTAGAAGCTGCTTGCTTTCATTCAAAATGGTCAAATAAAAGAGATAGCTCATTGTCTTGCAATGAAAGTGCAGGGTTAGAACACTCATGAAGCAAATAAAACTCTGGGGGTTAGGTTTATCAGCATTACCCTGAGAGGATGCAAACCACAGCCTGCACTTGTCAAGAATGTGTCCTTAGAACTGGAGTAGAAGCTATTGTTTCTGGAACTCTTTTACAGGGAAGTCTTAAGGGTACAGAGATGACTGAGAGGTCCTTGGCTACTTTGGTAATGTCAGTGATACAAGTAGGATAGAGTAGAAGACAGAAAGTCACTCTTCTGACAGGATGTTTGTTTATATAGTTATTCTGGTTTTTTTTCAAGCCCTTCACACACATTTTTTATTAGTATAGTATCTTCACTACCTAACTTATTCCTATGTGAATGAATTGTCTAGTTCTACCAAAACCAAAATATAAACCACAGGAAGAGGCTTCAGTATAAGCACTAATGAAGGGAGTGATTTCCACATGAAATATAAAGAGATAAGCAAACAAAGAATGAAATTCAGCAGTCGAAAAAAAATATAATGACACCAGTAGAGAGGATGAAAGGGAAAGAAAGGAAGAACTTGCTGGACTGACAGAGCTCTGTCTCATATGCAGCTGTGATACCTAAGCAGTAAGAATAATCTAAAGTTGATACACGTTATGTCTTTTTATTTTTTTTTAAGATTTAAAGAAAGTTCCAGGTAACATCCCTCCAGATATAGCTAAACTTGATTTGTCCAACAATAAAATCAGACAACTGCGAGCCAAAGAGTTTGAAGATGTCAGTGAACTGAAGATATTAAACTTAAACAGTAATGGAATCACTTACATCGATCCTGGTAAGAACAACTTTTAATATTCATTAAAGAGTTGTTTCTGTTTTATTGGTTATGAACTTTGATAATGTCTATCAGATATAAATGTGGGGGGAAAGGATTTAAAAATCTACAAGTTTCGCCTTTTGCCATTCAATTCATAAAGGTTTGCACTGACATATTCATTGTGGAAGTCAATGAAGAGAGACTGATTTTAGCTACCCTTTTTAATAATAAACCAAGTGCAAAAAGTTAATTCTGCAGACTGGAGGCTAATCATTTCCCAAAACACTAAGTACTTGAATGATTTTTTAAGTGTCTTTGCTGCGTCTAATAAAAGTTGTCATATAATGAGGCTACTATTCAATTACATTGGATAATAAAGAAACAGAAAAACCAAAAGGATTTAAACTCTTTTTGGATAAAAATCACTACATATAATTGCTCTGAGTTATATATTATTAGAATTCATGTGCCCATATTGGCAACTTGCTTATAGCCTCTGTGTATTTGGGGTTTAATGATGAAAGCAGACACAAGCAGGGAGAGAGACAGAGAGAGTACCAGGCAAAAAGAGCCATTTTGGCAGTTAAACAGCAATAGAAAGTGCCAATATCAGTAAAATGCTTTAACATTACACATAGTAAGAGAATTATAGAATCATAGCATCATCAAGGTTGGAGGAGACCTCTAAGACCACCAAGTCCAACCATTAACCTGTCACTGCTGGAACCCCTAAACCCTAAACCACATCCTCCAGTGCCAGATCCAGAGGCCTCTTAAACACTTCCAGGGAGGGTGACTCCTCCCCCTCCCTGGGCAACCTATTCCAGTGCCTGAACACCCTAACAGGGAAAACATTTCTCCTAACATCTAATCTGACTCTGCCCTGTCTCAGCTCAAGGCCATTCCCTCTAGTCCTTTCCCTGCAGCCATGGCAGGACAGACATCCCCCACCTCTCTCCAAGCCCTGTCAGGGAGTTGTAGAGAGCCATGAGGTCACCCCTGAGCCTCTTCTCAAGGCTAACCAAGCCCAACTCCATCAGCATGTCTTGTTGCCCTTTGCTGGACTCACTCCAGCAACTCAATGTCCTTTTTGCAGTGGGAGGCCCAAAAGTGAACACAGCACTGAGGTGTGACCTCCCCAGTGCCCAGTCCAGGGGGATGATCACTGCCCTAGTCCTGCTGCCACACTCTTCTTGCTCCAGGCCAAGATGCCTTTGGCCTTCTTGGCCACCTGTGCACACTGTTGGCTCACACTGAGCCGCTGTCACCAGCACTGCAAGTCCCTTTGTGATGAACAACTCCCTCCCCACTCCTCCCCCAGCCTGGAGCTGCATGGGATTGCTGTGTCCTAAGTGCAGCACCAGCTCTGAGCCTCACTGAACCTCATGCAGTTGTCCTCAGCCCACTGATCAGGTCGGTCCAGGTCTCTCTGTGGAGCTATGATAGCTAACCATGTGTTGCATTACCACCTGTATAACCACTCTATGAGCAAATCTGTCATATTTCTGAAAAATAGCCTTTAGCAAATAAACCTAAGAGCAACAACCATATCATTACAATAATAATTTTCCAGTTGCAGGCATGCATAATTTTCCTGTTGCAGCTATGCTTTTTTTTGTAACTTCTCTTTATAAGGTACCGATAACTATTTTTCTATTGACCAGCTGCTTTCTCAGGCCTCAATAACTTAGAGGAGCTGGATCTATCAAACAACAGCTTGCAGAATTTTGAATATGGAGTACTGGAAGATCTTTACTTCCTGAAAATCCTGTGGCTGAGAGAGAATCCTTGGAGATGTGATTACAACATTCATTACCTTTTCTACTGGCTGAAGCATCACTACAATGTTCACTACAACGGCCTAGAATGCAAAATGCCTGAGGAGTACAAAGGGTGGTCTGTTGGGAAATATGTTCGAAGTTATTATGAGGAGTGCCCAAAAGACAAGATTCCCATTTATCCAGAAACTTTTGACCTGGACAAAGATGATGAGGAATGGGAACGACACAAAGAGCAAACCGTTCAAACAGGAAAGAAGCACGGGGTGATTGTCACTGTGATAGGCTAAAAATGAACCTTTTGTTTTAGTACATTTAAATGTTTGATACTCTGAAAAACATGCTGTTTACATTTGGGTTTTTTGCTAATTATACTGATTGTTTGTAGGACTATCTGCCTGCAAAGATCTCTGTTTCTTGCAGATGATAACTACAGAATGGTATTAGTTATACAGGATCCTTCACCCAGTAAGTGTTTCTGACAATTTGTCTGGGACACTCTTGTGAAATATTTTGGCAAATAGTTGAAAATATACAGTAGAAATGGATAGACACATATGTACATAATGTGGTGGGGAGGAGATGTTGTGTGCGCGGGCACAGCTTATGTGTTATCACGGAGATAGCTGCAGGATTGTGAACAAGACACATTGTTTTTGAATGTATTGACAATTCTTTGTATCCATTTCCTGAAATATTCCCAGAAGACATTTCTAAAATTTTTGTATCAGCTTCTTGTTGTTTTATTGTATATACATAAAAAACCCCCAATGAGACTAATGACTAAGCTTAAATACAGTTCTGGAAAACCAGGAACAGCTGTGGTTGCACTGATTAGGATCCAGACTCAGAAGGTGGGTTCTAACTGCTGATTTCCCATTGCTCAGCCTTGAGCGAATAACTCAGCCTCTGCCTCTTCCATACCTGAGCTGCCTTAAAAGCATGAGTACACAAGCCATGGTTGGTTCCCAAGATCCACATGCTAGTTTCTCAAGATCCACATGCTGGTTCCCAAGATCTACATGCTGATTTGGTTTTTGCAGTAGGCAGAGCTGAAATCTTTCTAAAAAGAAGTTTAGGTTTTCAAGTCAGTTTGGCATAGATCACATGATATCACTTCTGGGTGAGGAGGACCACATGAATTATAGGATTATAGAATTTTAGGGGTTGGAATGGAGTTTAGAGATCACCTAGTCCCAATCCCCTGCCCTGGGCAGGGACACCTCCCACCAGATCAGGGCGCTCAAGGCTCATCCAACCTGGCTGTGAACACTGACAGGGTTGGGGCAGCCACAGCCTCCCTGGGCAACCTGTGCCAGTGTCTCACCACCCTCACAGGAAAAATTTTTTTCATAATATCTAGCCTCAATTTCCCCTCTTTCAATTTGTACCCACTGGAGTATGAAGGATAATGAAAATGAAGGATGCTGTGGTCTGCATCCAGCACAGCAGTGCCCATCCAAGCTGAAGGTAAGTATGCTTGTGACAGCTCACCAGAAATGTGGGATATCCTCAAAGTCCACTCTTCCCTCAGCTCATTTGTAAAATTCATGTTTAGCACCTCCTTATCACAAAACTGTCTGTGTGAATGTATATTTAATCAAACACTCTAATTATCCTAATCCTATGGTAACAGAGTTGTACAAATGCCCCATCTAAGTAGAGGATATCTCTAGGGATAAAATTCCTTGCTGTATAATATACTTAGATCAGTAAGAAACACCTAAGTGCAGAGCAGAAATTCAGGGCCAACATTTTAAATTTCTCTTGGCTATCATGGAATAAGTTCTGGAAAACTCCAGGGAGAAATTTTTCTCCTTTAAAGACCTGCAGGCCAGTGTTTGTGGATTCCTCTGATGCTTTAACCACAAGCCCCAAAGGTTACACATTTCGTTTTACAAGTGCAAGACAAAGCACTCAGTGCTTTTGGGCTAACATGAAATGAAAGAACAACATAAAGGAAAAAATCAGGCGTTATTAAGGGAGGTAGGAATGCCAAAGAATCTCAAAGCAAACACATCCTATTACTAAATGCATTCCTTCAAGTTCTCTATTATTCAGATTATGAATATGTTTAATGGTGCTTTGCTGCTAAACTGTAGAGTTTAGCCATTTTTTCCACAACATCTTTCAAAAATACAACAGTATCTGACTCATCCCTGTTCCTGGAAATTTCTTAGGCATTATCTTAATTATTAAATGTTAATCCTGACAGGATGGAACAGAGATGAAAATCCCACTTGGCCAGTAATATTCACTGAATAGGGCATTTTCTGGAAACTTTAAAGTGCTGAAAGAAGAAAAAGATCTATAACAAGTAGTAGCCAGCATCAAGTGAAGTACTCTTCCTCCTCTCAAATTCTGGAGGATTATTTCAATACAGAATGGAACTACTGGGAATGATTGAAAAGGACAGACAATAAAACCACAGCAGAACGTCTGTTACTGGCAGCACAGGCAATGGAGAAAAGCTGAGTTGGAAAAAATGCATTTATAAACCATGTTAGGTTTGTTTCTGCAAAGAGTGAAGGGTAGGAAAAAAATACTAGCTTAAGGCAGACTAAAGTTTGGGCAGAAAAGGTGGGGGTTGTGTGTGTGTGATCATTCAGGGGTCTCAAACAGTGGTACCAGAAAGTGCTGCATCTTCTGAAGGTTCAAGGGAGATGCTGAGCTGAACATGCTGCCTGTAGCTAACAGCACAAGATGTTTGGTGACTGCTGTTAAGTGACATCTGCAAGAGAGGGAGGGACATACAAACAGGGAACATGGTTCCACAACTACCCTGCAAATAAAGGTTTTCATGTGCACTTGTGAAGACATTGCCAGCTAAGAAGCTCCATGAGAGAAAGACTTGTGCAATAACATCAAACAAAATCCAGTACTTAAGAGCAGATCTGGTCAGAATGGATTAGAGCAGATTCCCTGATCTGGGACTCAACAAATGGAAAGACTTTTAGCAGTCAAGAAAAGAATGGCCTAAGTTCTGAGTGTTGCAATTGTCCTTGCTACTATTTTCCTTAGCCTCTGGGACTTTCAAGAAGTAACTGAAACTTCTATTCTTTTAACTGCAATGCCCTATGATTTTTTTCCTTACTTTATAGTTATTCTACATTTCAGATTTTACAATGATACTATAGAATTGTTATTAAATAAATACAGAAAAGCACACAACAATGGAAATAGTAGACTGGGGCAAGGGAATACAGGCTAGCTTGTTCTCCTGACAGTGACTAGTAGCAAATTCTTTAAGACTGTATGAACAGCAAAAGCTTCATATCAGAGTTATGGAGACTGGGCAGAAGGAGGCAGCACAAGGAAGAAGACAATAATAAACCTGAGAAACATACATATGGGAGAAATTACTAACAGTAGATAAAAACTTCAGCATCACAGGATTAATTGCTATTTCTCTGAGCTTCTGAAAAATTTACTTGTAAAGTAGAATCGTGGAATCATCAAGGTTGAAGGAGACCTCTAAGATCAAGTCCAACCATTAACCTGTCACTGCTGGAACCCCTAAACCCTAAACCAGATCCTCCAGCACCAGATCCAGAGGCCTCTTAAACACTTCCAGGGATGGTGACTCCACCACCTCCCTGGGCAATATTCCAGTGCCTGAACACCCTAACAGGGAAAATATTTCTGCTAACGTCTAATCTGACTCTCCCCTGTCTCAGCTCAAGGCCATTCCCTCTAGTCCTCTCCCTGCAGCCATGGCAGGACAGACATCCCCCACCTCTCTCCAGCTCAGGAAGTTGCAGAGAGCCATGAGGTCACCCCTGAGCCTCTTCTCAAGGCTAAACAAACCCAATTCCCTCAGCCCTTCCTCATACAACATGTTTTCTACACCTGCATAGAACACCACAGCCACAAACCACAATTTAATGTTGACTTCTCTATGTTTCTGTCCTATTTAATCAACAAGTCTTCAGAAGCACTTCCATGTCTGAAAGAAAATCACGGGCCTTCCTCGTCCTTTATATGCCCCTTAAGCCTGTCCTCTCAGTAATTTCTCTCTTGATTCCTCTTCTTTCTTTGCCCATATCCAGGAAATATTTTCATGATACAACTGCATGAAAACAGTTGCATTGTCTTCCTGATAGTTCCTGCTGTATATGCACTAGGAGTGCTGTCTCAAGGGCTAAACTACAGTGCTCTACAGAGGCTGTCAGTGCCCCTCTCTCTACACATGGAACACAGAAAATATTATTTTGTGCTATATTTTGCTGTGACAGGGTGTAGGAAACATGGATAAGTCTGTCAGTACTATGACCACTACTGGAAATAACACACTTCAAAAGCTTCTGAGGAAATTCTAGCTCCTGCACTATGACTATGAATGGCAGCTCTTAAATGCAGTTCCCAGTCACACATGGAAGAGAAATGATTCTCTAAGATCACTAAGTAGGTGGAGGAACACCACAAACAGCTGAGCTGCAATGTCTACATCCCAGAGACTCATTTTCCTTTGGCACAATGACACACTGACTTGCCAAAGACAGTTTGGGCTGGAATCATATTGACATTCACACACAGGTATTAGAGAAGGACTTCAATTTCATGACTGCAGCACAGACCAAGGTTAGAGCACACAAACCCAATTTGCTTTACATTGCAGCTAGTTTAAATTTATCCAACAAAAATAACATGTTTAACCAGCTGAACAGACCTCAACCACAGCCAATATAATTGCTGTTTTAACTTTAACAATAAAAACATGTTGCCAAGATGTGTGTAATCTTGGATGCATTTGGAAAGATGAGGTCAGAACTGCAGCTCAGGGAAGTTCCAATGGAAAGGTTCATCACATCTGTAACCTATAATTGAACAGACAGTTCAACTCAGTTTGTTAACTGAAAAAATGTCAAGGGAAGATAATCTCAATACGATTTTCAATCACTCAAAAAAGATAGAAAAAATTGTTTTCCAGCAACCTCAAACAATCCACAAGAGCTTCACAAGAATGGCACAAATAGGCTAGGTGATAAATATCAGTGAGTTTTAACAGAAAAAACCCCATGTAATTAATCTAAAGGGCAATAGTACGCTGATATAAATGTGTTTCATGCTTAAAAAGAACTACTGTGTGTCCTCAAAGTTTAGAAGAAACAGCTTTGTACATCAGTGTTCTCTAAAAGCCCCTGCAGGCTGTCATATATGATCTATCACAGTTGGTTTAAAATAGTGGATGGAAATGGACATAATCTCTGATTTTGAGCCTACAGAAAACATTAATTATCCACAAAAGTGAAAAATGCAGAGTTTGTAGATAGGCAAATTGAATTTAGTGTCTTTGATATGCAGGATAAATGGAAATGGATGGCAATCGACATCCTGATATTCCAATCAAATGCTGATACTTCTGAGCTAAATTATTTTAACTAGGTGTGAACCAGTTAAGTGATGTGACAGGAAGGCAATGTGGATACAGAATGTAATTCTATCACGACTGTTC